GCCTCTAAGTGTGACTCAGTGACCTTTAATCAGGGGCTCCATCATATGAAGGTGACACAAACACTCTTCTCACTCACTCACTCTCTCTTCTCACTCACTCACTCACTCACTCAACAAGCAGGAATATATTCCATGGCTAGCAGTAATACCATTAACATAATCAGGAAATTATAAATTATTAACAAATCATAATTGTATTATTTGTTTTTTAGTAGGCTGTGTTTGTAGCTCTGTAGGGTTAATCAGCCTGACAGAGAAACATGTGGCATGCTGGGATAGATTAACTCCCCGCTGTTGGAGGTCCATGTTTTTAGTGAGGCTTGCTCGTCATTGCCCAATATTTGCTAAGACTAAAAAGTTGGTGATACAACTTGTTGGTAATGGAGAAGTTGGAACATGGTTGGCACAGGCCCTGGTGGATAAGAGGCGTTGTTTTGGCATTTCCATTCTGATTAAGTCTCCGCTATGTTATCTGGGTCAGGCAAGCAAGATTCACTTCATGATAAAATGTTACACGTGCCAGTTTGTAGATTTAGAGTGCAGATGTTGAGGACAATTTGTGAAGAAGTTTGTCTACAGATAGGATGAAATGTAGCAGAGTTGAAGGCAAGGTGCAGTGGGTGCATCAGTGAATGGTTGGCTACCATAACCACCTTATCTATTGTGCACCACCTATGACTTCATCCTCTTAACATTACCCCACCTATACCACTGTTATCTCAACACCATCAGCGACAGACCACCTCCGTGGTGTCGTGGTTAGAGAGGTCCACCTGGAGAGCAGAAGGTCACAGGTTCGATCCCCAGTCGCGTCATACCAAAAGATGTTAAAATATGGTACTTGTTGGTCCCTGCCTGGTGCTCGGCATTAATAGGTACAACAAGGACTGGCCAGTATAATGTGTCTGAGTGGGGTATTCATGCAACATGAGCTGGCACTATACAACCAGCTTAAGTCTGGACTAGGACAAGCAGCCGCACATACATACACATGCACGTCATCATATGAGTGAAATATTCTTAAGTGTGAAGTTAAACCCCATTTCACCACACCTTCACCTAGAACAACCACCAGTCATCTCCTCGCTATAATCAACACCATTACCAACAACAACCACCTCCACCACTGTCATCTCCGACCGCTGCCATGACTGTGTCAACAATTAACTCCTCACTCACATCAACAGCAGCTACAATAAAAAAAAATCAAAACAGCATCAACCTCCCCAACTGCCACACCCATCCACATGTGGCCCAGCCCCCACACAGAAACCAACCAATGGTTACACCTTCATCAGCTGACAGTCATTAGGGAGGTCAAAGGTCATGTCTAAAGGGATATATCCAGGAAATCCTCTTTCTCTCTGAAGAGTGTGAAAGAATGTTTACACAAACAGAATGTTTTCAAGATTGTCCAAAAATGTAGAAAGCTTCACAGAAAATGTTCTACTCTTGTCAGAAATGATCAGTATGAGTTGCCTCTATGCCCTGGGGGGCATATTTATAAAACCAAACAAACTCACTTATATGTACAAGTAATTGCATATTTTTTTACCTTTAAGAACACTGTCTGGAGAGGCAAAGCTTTGAGGAACAATTTGTCAATGTCCATTAGTCTGAGAATGTTCTGGACTGAATGGAAACTATTCGGTCAATGACTAATAAAAAACACTTTTGATCATCTTGTTGATCACTGGATTGTCTGGTATAGATTCCATTATTTACAGACACCCACCGTATACCTGGAATACTGCGATATGTGGCGTTAAACAACAAACAAACAAACCGATTCCATGGGTCTTGAAATGCAAAGTAATGTAATAAAGAGGAGACATGAATAGAGTGTTACTTCAGGATTGACTTCAATTGTTTGTACTTGTCTGTCAGACGGAGGCTTGTTGAACATGTGTTTGATCCACAACAGAGTTTGTTACAGGTCCCAACAGTTCCATAAGTCTTGGAAACCAGACGCAAGGACTGGAACTAAATTATGGTAAAACTCCAGCTTGCTACCTGTGGTTTACCAACTGACTGATTGATGGGCTGGATGTACAGTTGTACAGTTTACTAAAGTCACCCATGTTTGTACAAATAGTTCAAAAGGTCATTCACAGTATCATCTAGGTTCAGATAAATCACAAGGATTGAACACTTGTCTGGAGACTCTTCCAGTAAATGAAAGCAACAAAACCACCATGTTAATGTATGAACATGTGGCTTAAAACAGTAGAGGGGCAAAATATTTCAGGATATTAACTGTTGTTTGAATATTTATTGGATTCTATTTCCATTTCATGTGAGAATATATTTATCAGAACTTACAGGTTTATCTTTTTAAAATATTTGCAGAAGAATATTGAAGTATTTTATTGGCAATAATGTATAAAAAGAATATGTTTTATTCAAACAATACAAACTTTAAAGATTAAATCCATGTTCATGCCCACTGTGTACCACCCACTACCAGCATTAATCTTCATTTTCTTCATTCAAGACGAGTACAGGAATCCCTGCACGCATGCTGGGTTATTTATTAGCACAAATGGTGCTGCTCTCCTTCAGAACCAACTGCTTCTGTGATAAGTCTTCAAGTCCTGGACACCTTGTATCAATCATTGGAAATCCCTACATTTAACAACTTGACTTTTTAGTAACACCTCCTTAAGATGCTCATTTAGAATTTTAATGTAATTGTTTTGGAATCATGAAGGTAGTTCACACAAGAGTGTAGGTCATTGATGAAGTGCAGAGTGTGGCTCTCGTTATGTCATTAGTCTGGATGCACCAACAGCAGTAGGTCATTATTAGCCGTCTGCTGGTAGCCGTCTGCCTCAATGTCTATCTCACTGGATGAGACCTCAGCCTCATCAGGGTTCTACTGAAGTGTTTTCTAATTAAACCTGTTTTACATTTGCTGTATCTAGTTTACCTGAAGAATGTTTGTTTGAGAGTTTCTATTTCCGTAAACATTCAATCTACAAAGTCTGTTGGCAATAAGTTGAACAATCTCTTCAATCATAGTGAGGATGTTTCTGATTTCAGGGAATTATACAGCCATATTATTTTCAGATGATTAAAACTTTCTGTGAATCTATGTTGAGGGTCTGCAGTGCCTAATGGATGACACCCGTGGTGATTAATTGATAGCTTGTGTTAACCCACCTCCCACTAAGCATATCGCTCTCAGTTCCACTCAGCTCCACTCAGCTCCACTGGAGTAGATCCCCAGCTTCTTGTACAAGACCTGACTGGGCACAGTGGTGTCATGACCAATTCGTCATATTCCACAAGTCTGCTCATGCCATCAACCAACCACTTCTCTGGCCAAGATTCGGCAGCCGGTTCCCGGTGCATCCCGAGAATGTTGTCAGGATCAAGGGGTGTTTCAGCAAACTGTGCAAAGTACATTCCAATTGACCTGCCAAATCCATAAGAAGATTTCTCAACTTCTCCTTCTGTATAAGCCCAGTTAACCAGTTCCCTCTTGGTCAACTTCTACTTCTCTATAAGCCCAGTTCCCTCTTGGTCAACTTCTCCTTCTGTATAAGCCCAGTTCCCTCTTGGTCAACTTCTCCTTCTGTATAAGCCCAGTTCCCTCTTGGTCAACTTCTCCTTCTGTATAAGCCCAGTTCCCTCTTGGTCAACTTCTCCTTCTGTATAAGCCCAGTTCCCTCTTGGTCAACTTCTCCTTCTGTATAAGCCCAGTTCCCTCTTGGTCAACTTCTCCTTCTGTATAAGCCCAGTTAACCAGTTCCATCTTGGTCAACTTCTCCTTCTGTATAAGCCCAGTTAACCAGTTCCCTCTTGGTGACAGTACCAGGATTTACCAAGGTTTCAAATTAGAGTAATGAGTCTTTTGAAGCCCAACAGAGGCAATGAATGTTAATCCCATGCAATGTGACCACCGCAGCACATTAATTCGCTTTGATTCCATGAGACGCTATCATCTGGCAAACAGAGTGATACTACAAAAATGCAGTTTGTTGGAAACTGTCATGCTGTGAAGAATATAGGAAATATTTTTGTATATCTATGACCTTTCTTTATCTGAAGTGGGAATCATGTGATATGTTTTATCTTGTATTAAATGCAATGTGTTGAGAGCAGTCGTTTGATGTATGTAGAGTGTTTTTCAAGATGGTTTTAATGGAGTCTCATGTAAGTCATATTGGGCAGGAATGTTTAACTATGAGAAAAACCTTCCATGGTAACACTCTCAAACCACATTTGAACTGTATGTACCTATAGCAGTCAGTATCTCTTGCTTGACACACATCATTCACACCATCTTTTACATCATACATATCTTCGTTTGAAAATGCCTACTAAAAGTGATTGTTCTGTAAATGTAACGATCCAGTTTGAAGCAGATTTTAAGTCTCAGGAGGTGGTTATTTGGATAATGATATTCACAATTCCTGTCAGAATAACAGGTTAATTCCCCTGCTGCCTCCCCATTAGCTTGTTACACAAGGAATGTCTGCTGGGGAACTGGCCTACGTTTGGTAATAAGTTATTGTGATGATATTACAATATAGGTAAAGCTCTTGCTACAGAACAGTGTTGTTGCAGCTCGAGAAAACATGTCTGCCATTTCCTAGTTTCAGCAGACGGAAGTTGTAGGGCAGAAGTGCCGCTGATTGTTTGAAATGAAAATATGAATGTTTTCTGAATGAATGCATCTTTGCGCAAGGTTTATTTTGGATCACAACAAATATGATAGAGGAAGATTGTTTTCTTGCATCTATTGAAGCTATGGATAGTGTAGCATGTGTTTCCTGAGAGCTATTTATGATCCAAACAGTCTGAGTGAGGATATCATGGAGAAGGTGCTTCCTCTGACTCCATGTTGTTGTGAAGAGCAGCTGAAAGGGTGATTGAATGTCCATTATGGGTTGAAATATATTTTCAAAACAAGTTTCTGATGAAAAAACATTTGCTTGATAAGTTGATGTTATTTATTCCAAATATCACTAACCTGCTCCTTTACTTGTTGCCAGATGCTGTGTGGACCAGTGACATGGACTTCCTGTTTGCGCGCGAGCGAGCACACCTGAGTGACGTGAAGAGCAGTATCAACATCACGGAGGCACACAATGAGACCCTGCTCGTCATCCCCACGCCCCGACCCCCTCCCTGGGGCTGGACCAACAAATACTCCCTCACTGTGGCCTTTGTCAACTTCGCTGCTGCCCTCATCACCTTCTCCATCAGATACTCCTCTGTGTTTTGGTTCACTAACAAGATCCTCACAGCCATCTTTGCTTTCCAGATGTTCTTCATGACCTTGACCTCAGTGTTTGGTTATTGTGGTTTCTCTGTCTTGTACAAAGTCTGCTACAACCTTCACCTTTACCAGAATGTTCATCTGTCTCTTGGGTGTGCTGCAATTATCGCCTTGTACATTATTGGAGGAATCATCATGGTACTGTCCACCATGACAGTGTTTAAATATGGTGCACACTACTTTGAGGAAAAGTTCAAAATCATCGAACGAAAACATAACTCAGAGACTTATGTGAAGCAGACTGTGATAGTTCACAGTGGCTGCCAGGGCTATATTCCTCATTCTTGTGCAATGGCTGCTCTGATATTCTTTGCTGTGTGTAAAGGCCCCATATTGTACAATTTGGTCAGTCTGTATCGTGTGACCAAAGACGGCCTTGTCCTGGCCTGTGTTGTCTGTGAGGTGTGCTACATGGTGTTCTGGATTGTCCTTTGGTTCGGGCTGACAATAAAGCAACAGTGGAGGTTCCGAATTCTTGACTATGTTCCTCTTGGACAGCCTGTCTTTATGATCAACTCCTCAGAGAATGGTCATGTCATGAAGAACCCATCGTTTGAGACAGACAACATGGAATTGCATGAACTCCACAAAGAGCGACCACCAAGCCGGAACCGACAACGTGAGTCCCCTCCAGGATATTTGGAAGCTCTTTCTACAGAAGGAACTGATGACATGCCATCAGAAGATGGAACTGACAACTCTGATAACATGAACTTAACTGAAAATCCATTATCAGACATGGATCAACCAGCGACCAATGGTGGAGCCATGAGGAAGTCTAGGAACAGGCGAAATGGAGGACAGAGAGTTACATTTGATGAATCTGTTCGCAGCAACACGTCTTCGGAGGATGGTAAACCTCGGGGCAGAGGCGGAGTTAATGGGCGGACAACTCCAGAAGCAAAGATGATGAATGTCACAGTGGATGTCCATAATGGAGAAGACAAGCGATCTGCGGGGGAGGGTGTTCTGCGAAGGGCAAACAGTGGAACAGACAACAACATCTCACGAGAGTACAGAAACAGTATTAGAAACAAGTGTGGGGAGTATTACAGCAATGTGAATAATTTATCTACTTCCTCAGAGGAAGCTCCTTCTAGCACCATCTCTGAGCCTCTTCCGACATTAATGTCTTCATTTAGGGACAAGGTCAAGGAATCTTCAAGGACTGCTAATAATTACAAGGAGCAGAGTAAGTCCATGTTCCCAACCACAAACTCACTAGAGAAAAATTCCAGCCATAGTTCTTCCAACGGACACGTAGACAGCAACAGCTTGTCTAAGAGGAAGGGCTTGGTGGAAAGCGAGATTGGAGAGGTGTCTCTGAAACTGAATGATATTCATCTGGACAATCTGGACTCTCTTAATAGATGTAAGAGAAACTCCTCGTGTAACAGTGATGACTCAAAGAGGACTAGCACATCTGGAGTCAGTAGCATGTCCAATGACATTCTCCCCATGCCCAATTCAAGCAGACATCTTGTTAACGGAACCAACGAGAGTCCTGATAACAGCTTGAAAAAACGGTCAAAAAATGGCTACCCTCCATTGGAGAAATCTGAATACCTCTTTCCAAGACCGCTGCACTTATCAGTGAAGAAGGGTGACATTGGGAGGAGGGACTCAGCTAATTATTCATTAACATCATCACAAGAAACGTCGTCTAACGACTCGGATCAGGGGCAAGGACTCTGCAGCCAAGTATAGTGATTGTGTTTTAAGCTTGGCGTTCTAGAAGTGAAACTGTTGCATAATGTTCTATTGTGTTGTGTGAGTAACACTTTTGTCTTCACGTCATCATGAAGGCAGGAGGGTTAACATGCATGTTGAAAATATTTGTGTGGTCACTGGGTAAGGAATCAGAAAGTAATCAATATCTCAGCCAAACCGTAGTCCTGTTTTGCGAATCAAGAATGGACCACTAATGAGAATGTTGTTCAAGACTGTTTTGTCCATGAGGCCAGAAACCTGTTGACGCTGTAAGAAAGATAATCGTACTGCAAAATGATTGTACGATCTATAACAGTGTTAAAATCATTGTTTACAGTCATATTTGTGGAGGTTGTTAACCTCAAATCAGGTCATTGTATTAATTGTTTTTCTGGATCTTAGTGCAGTGGACAAATATTCCTTGAAACAAAAACAAGAAGGTTTGACCTGAGTGTATATAATATTTTCCCCCAGTGACCATTGCATGAAGGTTTGGTTAAGTGGTTGTCATTAAGACTAGGGAACTGATTAACACAACTTCAGAAGTCAGTAATGAAATATATTTGATGAATCATCTTCCGTGGTAAGAACACTACCTCTGGTGTCATGAACTTCATGACTGTACTGCTGAAAACATGGAAATGTCATTTAACAAACACTGTCCACATATATATGAATCAAGATTTGGACATTTTATCAAAGTGTAGAATATGATAATGAATATATCTTCTCATCCTGCCATTTTCTGACATGATATCAATGAAGAAGTATCAGTTTGTATTTTTAAGTTTATTCTGTGTAAATATTATCATCAAGGTGATTACAGAAGGACTGAGACATAGTGCCAGCCAGTGAGACTTCCAGGACTCAGTGCCATGCTGACTTCCCTGCATGCTGACTTCACTTTGTTATTTTGTTCTCTGCATGACCTGCCTGTCACGTGTTTCAAGTAAATGTGAGCCACATTTTTTGTACAAAATGGTGTATATCTTTATTTAAGAAATGAAATAACAATATTTTTCATTGAGAAGAGAGTTTGGTGTTCATTATCCTTCACTGTTGGTGCAATACAATGTCAATATGTTACAGGCCATAACCTTGACATATCGTACCACCCTCTGTTGAGAAAGTTGGAGTCTGGGACAGTTATAAACAGGAAGAAACTGTTAGGATATTAACCATTTCCACCTGACACAAGGGTTTAGTCATACCTTACTGCTATGTTTGGAATTGCTTGAAATATTTCATTTTTAAAAGAATTATTATTGTTATGACTATATTAGGAAATATCAGCCTCACACTCACCAATAATTATTGTGATCAGATTTATTGTTCAAAGAAGTTTAAAGACAGGAATTTATTGCACGTAGGAATTGTCAGTTTTTGTTCATGGAGAAATATTTCATTTCATGCAATGTTTGTTTTTGAACTTTTTGAAAGTATTCCCAGCATGCAACAGTGTTGATTGTGCAGCGCCCCTAGTGTGATGTGTAGCATGGCCAGTTCAGTGTCCTGTGTTCCCAGACTTCCCACAGATGATTTGTGTTTGTGTTTCAGCAGTCCATAAAACATTTCAATGGAAACAGGTAGAATGACTCCCACTGTCGTCATATTCCACACAGGGACACAACGCTCCTGGAACTCTGATAACTCACTGAACACAGTACAGTTAGATGATCTGGTCAGAATCGTGCCTTATCTGGGAAGGCAGGATTTTTAAAAGTTTTATAGCAAAGAAAGAATAAATACAAACTAAAACTCATTTCCTGATATGCAATATACAAGCCATTACAACACACTAAAGTAATTATAGTCAAACACTGTGTAACAGCAGGATAGTGGTCAGATAGCTTGGGACAGACCCGCAATATACAAGCTATTACAACACAGTAAAGTAATTATAGTCAAACACTGTGTGACAGCAGGATAGTGGTCAGATAGCTTGGGACAGACCCACAAAATACAAGCTATTACAACACAGTTAAGTAATTATAGTCAAACACTGTGTGACAGCAGGATAGTGGTCAGATAGCTTGGGACAGACCCGCAATATACAAGCTATTACCACACAGTAAAGTAATCATAGTCAAACACTGTGTGACAGCAGGATAGTGGTCAGATAGCTTGTCACAGACCCGCAATATACAAGCTATTACAACACAGTAAAGTAATTATAGTCAAACACTGTGTGACAGCAGGATAGTGGTCAGATAGCTTGGGACAGACCCACAAAATACAAGCTATTACAACACAGTTAAGTAATTATAGTCAAACACTGTGTGACAGCAGGATAGTGGTCAGATAGCTTGGGACAGACCCGCAATATACAAGCTATTACCACACAGTAAAGTAATCATAGTCAAACACTGTGTGACAGCAGGATAGTGGTCAGATAGCTTGTCACAGACCCACAATATACAAGCTATTACAACACAGTAAAGTAATTATAGTCAAACACTGTGTGACAGCAGGATAGTGGTCAGATAGCTTGGGACAGACCCGCAAAATACAAGCTATTACAACACAGTAAAGTAATTATAGTCAAACACTGTGTGACAGCAGGATAGTGGTCAGATAGCTTGGGACAGACCCGCATAATATACAAGCTATTACCACACAGTAAAAGTAATCATAGTCAAACACTGTGTGACAGCAGGATAGTGGTCAGATAGCTTGTCACAGACCCACAATATACAAGCTATTACAACACAGTAAAGTAATTATAGTCAAACACTGTGTGACAGCAGGATAGTGGTCAGATAGCTTGGGACAGACCCGCAATATACAAGCTATTACAACACAGTAAAGTAATTATAGTCAAACACTGTGTGACAGCAGGATAGTGGTCAGATAGCTTGGGACAGACCCGCAATATACAAGCCATTACAACACAGTAAAGTAATCATAGTCAAACACTGTGAACCAGCAGGATAGTGGTCAGATAGCTTGGGACAGACCCGCAATATACAAACCATTACCACACAGTAAAGTAATCATAGTCAAACACTGTGTGACAGCAGGATAGTGGCCAGATAGCTTGGGACAGACCCACAATATACAAACCATTACAACACAGTAAAGTAATTATAGTCAAACACTGTGTGACAGCAGGATAGAGGTCAGATAGCTTGGGACAGACCCACAAATAATCGATCTGGATCAGACAATCCAGTGATTGTCAACATTGAGCACTGATCCACAGGGATACTATGCAAGAAACCAGGTCAGCAAGCACTTAGGTTACGACCCCCTTGCTATGGACCCAAATCTCCCATCTGTCCAACAACATTTTGATTTTGATCCTCTTTGGGAGGATTCTATCAACATTCAGCAGATGTGAGAAGCAATGTTTGGTTGGACTATTACATATATGATGTGAGAAGAAGTGTTTGGTTAGACTATTATATATATGATGAGAGAAGAAGTGTTTGGTTAGACTATTACATATATGATGTGAGAAGAAGTGTTTGGTTAGACTATTATATATATGATGTGAGAAGAAGTGTTTGGTTAGACTATTATATGTATGATGTGAGAAGAAGTGTATGGTTAGGCTATTATATATATGATGTGAGAAGAAGTGTTTGGTTAGACTATTATATATATGATGTGAGAAGAAGTGATTGGTTAGACTGTTATATGTATGATGTGAGAAGAAGTGTTTGGTTAGACTATTATATATATGATGTGAGAAGAAGTGTTGGTTAGACTATTACATATATGATGTGAGAAGAAGTGTTTGGTTAGACTATTATATATATGATGTGAGAAGAAGTGTATGGTTAGGCTATTATATATATGATGTGAGAAGAAGTGTTTGGTTAGACTATTATATATATGATGTGAGAAGAAGTGTATGGTTAGACTATTCTATATATGATGTGAGAAGAAGTGTTTGGTTAGACTGTTATATGTATGATGTGAGAAGAAGTGTTTGGTTAGACTATTATATATATGATGTGAGAAGAAGTGTTTGGTTAGACTATTATATGTATGATGTGAGAAGAAGTGTATGGTTAGACTATTATATATATGATGTGAGAAGAAGTGTTTGGTTAGACTATTATATATATGATGTGAGAAGAAGTGATGTGAGTTATATGTATGAAGAAGTGTTTGGTTAGACTATTATATATATGATGTGAGAAGAAGTGTTTGGTTAGACTATTATATATATGATGTGAGAAGAAGTGTTTGGTTAGACTATTATATATATGATGTGAGAAGAAGTGTTTGGTTAGACTATTATATATATGATGTGAGAAGAAGTGTTTGGTTAGACTATTATATATATGATGTGAGAAGAAGTGTTTGGTTAGACTATTATATATATGATGTGAGAAGAAGTGTTTGGTTAGACTATTATATGTATGATGTGAGAAGAAGTGTTTGGTTAGACTATTATATATATGATGTGAGTGAGAAGAAGTGTTTGGTTAGACTATTATATATATGATGTGAGAAGAAGAAGTGTTTATTGTATGTTAGACTATTATATATATGATGTTTGGTTAGACTATTATATATATGATGTGAGAAGAAGTGTTTGGTTAGACTATTATATATATGATGTGAGAAGAAGTGTTTTGGTTAGACTATTATATATGATGTGAAGAAGTGTTTGGTTAGACTATTCTATATATGATGTGAGAAGTGTTTGGTTAGACTATTATATATATGATGTGAGAGAAGTGTTTGGTTAGACTATTATATATATGATGTGAGAAAGAAGTGTTTGGTTAGACTATTATATATATGATGTGAGAAGAAGTGTTTGGTTAGACTATTATATATATGATGTGAGAAGAAGTGTTTGGTTAGACTATTATATATATGATGTGAGAAGAAGTGTTTGGTTAGACTATTATATATATGATGTGAGAAGAAGTGTTTGGTTAGACTATTATATATATGATGTAGAAGAAGTGTTTGGTTAGACTATTATATATATGATGTGAGAAGAAGTGTTTGGTTAGACTATTATATATATG